TTCGCTCTCGTTTCTTATCGCTCAATCTATTCTCACTTCCCCGCGCCGTCTTCCCCCTTCACTCTCCCGTTCTCTCTTCTTCGCTGCGTATCAGGAAAATCAGTGCCAGTCTTATCTCAGAAAATCTGATTGAAATCCGAAGCGACTGTAAGTGGTTTTATGCTTTTCGAGCTATTTCTGTGAACGATACCTCCCCTGGTCTAGACAGAATATGGATCATGAAGTGCTAGACTTCGATATCGGTGTAGGAGTTAGTAGTGGAGGAGATGTAGATGACGACGCTATTGATATTGAGCACCATGTTATCGACGAGGATGATATGCTCGATAGCCCAATGCCTGATATTTCTGTTGCCAATTCCGATGCTGGAAATTACTTTCCCGAGGGTGATCTCCTGGATCTCGAGCCTTATGATGGTTTGGAATTCGAGTCCGAAGAAGCTGCCAAGGCTTTCTACAACTCCTATGCGCGTCGCATTGGCTTTAGCACCCGTGTCAGTTCCTCCCGGCGCTCTCGCCGAGATGGAGCTATTATACAGAGGCAATTTGTTTGTGCCAAAGAAGGTTTCAGGAATATGAACGAGAAGCGCACCAAGGATAGGGAGATCAAGCGTCCAAGGACCATTACAAGAGTCGGATGCAAAGCCTCACTCTCTGTTAAGATGCAGGATTCCGGTAAATGGCTTGTCTCTGGGTTTGTCAAAGAGCACAACCATGAGTTGGTTCCTCCCGACCAAGTTCATTGTCTGCGTTCGCATAGGCAAATCTCTGGTCCAGCCAAGACCTTGATAGACACATTGCAAGCTGCAGGAATGGGTCCCCGCAGGATAATGTCTGCCCTGATCAAAGAGTATGGTGGCATAAGCAAGGTTGGCTTCACCGAAGTGGACTGTAGGAATTATATGAGGAACAATCGGCAGAAGAGCATTGAAGGAGAGATTCAGCTTCTTCTTGACTACCTGAGGCAGATGAATGCTGACAACCCAAACTTCTATTATGCGGTACAAGGAAGCGAAGATCACTCTGTGGGTAATGTGATCTGGGCTGATCCAAAAGGCATAACGGATTTCACTTATTTTGGGGATACTGTTACATTTGATACAACCTACAGGTCCAACAGGTACCGTTTGCCTTTTGCACCCTTCACTGGTGTAAACCACCATGGACAACCCATTCTTTTCGGCTGTGCCTTTATCATAAACGAAACCGAGGCTTCATTTGTATGGCTTTTCAATACGTGGCTAGCAGCAATGTCCGCCCACCCTCCCGTCTCAATCACCACCGATCATGATGCGGTTATACGTGCAGCCATCATGCAGGTTTTTCCAGGTGCCCGCCATCGGTTTTGCAAATGGCATATTTTTAAAAAATGTCAGGAGAAGTTGTCACATGTCTTCCTCAAGCATCCTTCATTTGAGTCAGATTTCCACAAAAGTGTCAATCTGACCGAGTCAGTTGAGGATTTTGAGTCATGCTGGTTTTCACTTGTTGACAAATATGAGCTAAGAGATCACGAGTGGCTACAAGCAATATACTCCGATCGCCGGCAGTGGGTTCCAGTATATCTCCGTGATACCTTTTTTGCCGAAATGTCATTAACTCAGCGTAGTGACAGTATGAATTCGTATTTTGATGGTTACATCAACGCTTCAACCAATCTAAGCCAGTTCTTCAAACTGTATGAAAAAGCTCGGGAGAGTCGCCTCGAGAAAGAAGTTAAAGCAGATTATGATACAATGAACGCACCTCCTGTTCTGAAGACTCCATCTCCAATGGAGAAGCAGGCGTCTGAACTTTACACAAGGAAGTTGTTTATGAGATTTCAGGAGGAACTAGTTGGAACGTTGACTTTCATGGCATCCAAAGCTGATGATGATGGGGATCTTGTTACTTACCAGGTTGCAAAATATGGAGAGGCCCACAAGGCTCATTTCGTGAAGTTCAATGTTTTGGAGATGAGAGCAAATTGCAGTTGCCAGATGTTTGAGTTCTCTGGCATCATATGCAGACATATATTGGCAGTCTTCCGAGTCACCAATCTCCTCACACTTCCACCTTACTATATCCTAAAAAGATGGACCAGAAATGCCAAAAGCAGTGTTATATTTGATGATTATGGTTTGCATGCATATGCTAATTACTTGGAGTCTCATACTGTCCGATACAACACCTTACGCCACAAAGCTTCTAATTTTGTGCAAGAAGCAGGAAAATCCCTGTATACTTGTGATGTCGCTGTTGTTGCTCTGCAAGAAGCTGCCAAGACTGTGTCCCTAGCAATGAAAAATGAATTTAGAAGAACTATGGCTAACGGGCATGTAAAAGAGAGTTCTGTAACTGAAGGAAAACAGACGTGCTGCAATGAGGACTGTCAGCAAGAAGTGCCGCAACCGGAGCCCGAGGTGAGGATCCTTTTCTTTTCGATACTTGTTGCTTTGATGAAATGACAATTAACTTCGTTTCTCTTAGAAAATTTCTACATTTTAGTATAGTTTGTTCTGGTTTTGCCCCATACAATCTGTTGTCTCTTTGATGGTACCATATGTAATCGCTCTGTTATGGTTTAACTAATGAGTCTGTGATTCACATAGCAATCTTGTTCTTCGCATGTCAAGAGAAAGGTCTTCATTTTGTCATTGTGAGCCTTTATATCATCCGGCCTCATATATCTGCAAGGTCCTTGATTTTTGTTTGTGTTCCACTGTTTGACCAATTGCATGACCATATTGTCTCCACTTTTGCAGGACGAAATGGACAAGAAGATTAACCAGCTCAGAAACGAGCTGGAATTAGCGAACAGGAAATGTGAAGCTTACAGGACTAACCTACTTTCAGTGTTGAAAGAAATGGAAGATCAAAAGTTACAAGTATCCATCAAAATGCAGAACATCAAAATTAGCTTGAAAGACAATCTGTGACACAATTACTAAGTTCCAACTGCCATCCTCATCTGTTAATCATATGAATATATGATTGCTCATGTACAATAGCTTAGGGTTTTTTTTTGAAAGAGGGATCCAATTTTCAGGATTTCCCTATTACAGTAGGTAGCCTTTGCAATAGATTGTACTCCCAGTCATATCATCAATGAAGTTGAGTCCCATAATTGTTTGCAATACCAACAACAGTAGGCGAGTTGAATTGTGATGTTATATATCCAGCAGGTCGCACTCACTCTTTCAAGCTCAGTCTAGCATTTTGTACCTTGAGGGACAGCTGAAACTTCTGTTCTTCCATATCTCTCAAAATAGACAGCAGGTTTGCTCGATAAACTGCACATCGCTGACCTGTCCTCTCCAATTCGGCTGTGAGTTCAATTATTGTCCTCTCCTTTTCAACCTGACATTGAAGCAACAACTTATTCCCAAAGAACATTAGACAAAGATGATAAAACTACGGAGTACCGATAGATACATTTCTTACCCCTGGATGATTCATTGCATTTGCAGTTTCTTGAGCTTCCTCAGATGGGTAAGAATCCCCATTGGAAAGTGTAGTTCCAGGCGTTGCTCCTCTTATTTTGCTACTTGCAGCAGCAACCTTCTTAGCAGCTTCATCTAAGGCATCCATCGCAACTTTATAAATCTGAATAGATTTCGCGCCCTCCTCCACATACTTGGTTGCTTCTTGGCGTAGACTGTCATAGGAGACGCTTAAAGATTCTTGACAACTGTTTGAAAACACGGGTTGTTCCTCGGTGCCTCTAGTCTTTGCTTCTTTGGTCCATCGCCTTAGTAGATACCGGGATGGAAGAGTAAGAACATTTTTGGCCCTGAATACCGCCAATATGTGTCTACAAATGATCCCTGAATACTCAAACATTTGACAGCTGCAATTAGCTTTCATCTCACAAGAGTCAAAATTGACAGTATGACTTTTGTGAACTTCTCCAAACTTAGCCACACGATAAGTGGTGCGAGTTCCGGAATCACTAATCCTATTTGCAGGATTTGCAAGGGTCTCAACAAACTCCTCCTGAAACTTCACGAACGCAGCCCTTGTATATATGCTAGCAGCTTGCTTTTCCATGGGAGAGGGCGTCTTCATAATTGGAGAAGAGTTAGCTGCTTCATAATCTGCTTTCAGTTCCTTCTCACGCCAACTATCAATTGCTTTCTCATACTGCTTTATGAGCATTTGCATTGTAGTTGATGCGTCCACAAACCCCTGGAAGAATGAGTTCAACATGTTGCTTCCTTCATCTGCATATAGCTCTCCATAAAAGGTGTCTCGAATAAAAACAGGGACCCATTGATGCCTAACATTATAGATGGACTGGAGCCAGTCGTTATCCTCTAGATAGTATCTTCTGATGATCGAGTCCCAAGATGCCTCAAACTCAGCAGGCGTGTCTGTCTCAGTAATGCAATTTACAAATTCGGATTCGAAGGTAGGATGAGACTGAAAGACGTGAGCAAGTTTCTCCTCGGTCTCCCTGAAGACGAGGGGCTGACTGAAACGAAGGCGGGTGTGAGTAAAAACTTGAGAAACAGCAACCTGTATGAGCCTATCAGGTTCAACAGTGATAGAAGGAGGAGGGGGAGCAGACATTGCTTGAAGCCAAGTCTGGAAGAGCCACGCAAAGGAGGACTCAGACTCGTTGAGTATGAGAGCACAACCAAAGAGAAGAGGCTGAGCATGATGGTTGAAGCCGGTGAAGGCAGCAAATGGGACTTGGTACCTCTTGGCCCTCCTGTAGGTGGTGTCAAAAACTAGAGTATCACCAAAGTAGGTGTAATTCAACCTGCAAGTTGGATCTGCCCAGAAAACATTTCCGCCATCTTCCTCAATTGCATACAAGAAACCGGGATTCTCGAGCTGAGCACGTTTCAGATAGTTGAGTACATGCTCCAGGGTCCTCTCTCGCTCCACACTCATCTTTACTTGCCGGTTAAATCACCAATCCTGCCATTTTATCACCATCATTCATCTCAATTTTGGGTATCACAAGGAACAACTTTTGACAATCAGTACCCAGAATGAGTCTCTCCACAGAACAGGTAATAGTTGAGACAAGAAATAGAAACTGCACAGAGGAAGGATGTTAGAGATGATACCTACGACGATTGCAGCCATATACAAGATAATTTCGCTCCCTCTTCTGCTTTTTGCAAGGCTAAAACCCTAAACCTGTACTGCACCTGAATCAATGGCTTCCGCGACCCGACGGTGTGTGTATTCCTGAAGCCTTGTTGGATCCAAACTCGATGACGGTTTTGTCTATTACTCCTGCCGTTTCGAAAACCCCAAAACGGCAAGCAGTTTGGTAGACAGGCCTATTATTCCTTTTAAATTTGGGCCCTTAAAATAAGAATAATTGGGCCTAACAAATTCTAAGTCGAACCAAACAATACATCAAACCTTACACCGGTCCGAGA